TTGCGTTTCACTTCTTTTTTCCCCCTAAAATATAGTAAAGATGTAAAAATATAGGGGTATGAACTCACCTGGTAAGTGTGATGCTTTGAAGAAAACGAGACTTTTCTCGGGAGTTTCGGACCTTCGGACCTTCGTCGAAGCTTGGATACGTAAACGGGGCGTCGGGGTAGTTTCAAGAGGCTCGAGAGTGAGATAATATAGGAGAGATGTTCTAAATTACCAAATAACTTCGGAAGCCTCGCATCTCATTTTATAGGGGTGGGAACTACCCTCGTACGTTGGGCGTATTCGTGTACGCGGGGCGTATGTCATGCATGGCGTCTTTGTCGGATACTGGGCTTCGGATGGGACAGGCTAGAAGGCTAGGGGGAGACGTGGTCGATCCGAGTCCCAACATTGAGTACGTTGGGCGTACCCTCGTATGCCATAGCATACTCCCCCTCGATGTGTGTGCCCCAAAATTTTAAAATGTGTAACTTTCACATACGAGCTCCGTTATTGATGTTCTTTATATCCACGCGTAGGTAAATTTTGACTTTATTTTTAATTATATATTTTTAATAGGCCGGGACAGGAAAAGTCCGTTAAAAATTAATAACTTCTTCACCCGATGTTCGTTTTCATCTGGCTTTTTACCGTTGTACTACTATTGTCAAGATCTTCAATTCCCGTTTAAGTTGCGTCGGCTAAAAGTCGCTCGATCTCTATTTCAAGTTTTTAGTTGTTTACCGCTACTATGAAACTTAGAAAAATCATAACTTCTTCATACGAAGTCAGATTTGGACGTTCTTTTTATGTACATTCACGGTTTAATGGTATCTATGACTTTCATTTAGATACCTAAGGCTAAAAAGTATTTTATTGAAATATTGCGTTTCACACTTAATAGTGTTTTACCGGTTTCGTTGTGGATTTTCGATATGTCATAACTTCTTCGTTATAACTCAGATTTTTGTGTTCCTTACATTTCTGAAAACCTTGTTACGATAGCTATTACTTTATGCAACCCAATTGAGACTTTTGAACATTTTATTTTTGATGCTAGTTTTATTATATCAAAAGTAGATTACTAATCCTTGACTTTTAGGGCATTACATTGACTTGAAATATCGGGTTGTCACATCATCCCCCGTTAGAGAGAATTTTATCCTGAAATTTATTCTAAGGTATGTATTTATGGACTAGGGAAAAGATGTGGGTATTTTTGTTTCATCTGATCTTCGCGCTCCCAGATGTATTCAGGTCCTTGCTTTGCATTCCAGCAGACCTTCACAATGGGTATGAGACTTTGTTTTGTTCTTTTAATTTCCATATCAATGATTTCTACTGGTTCTTCTACAAAGTGGAGACTCTCGTTGATTTCGATTTTGTCCGGAGGGACGACGAGGGTCTCATCGGACAAGCACTTCTTTAAGTTTGAGACATGAAAGGTAGGGTGTACTTTATAAAGTTCCTGCGGTAATCAAAGCTTTTATGCTACCGAGCCGATCCTGGCAAGGATCTTGAATGGTCCGATATACCTTGGATTGAGTTTCCCATGTTTTCCAAAACATATTAATCCCTTCCAAGGTGAGACCTTCATTAGTACTCGGTCCTAACCTGAAATTCCAATGACTTCTGTCTTTTGTCCGCATAACTCTTTTGTCTGTCTCATGAAGCTTTTATTCATTCACAAATTTGGACAATCCTCTCGGTTGGTTTTCTTATGATTTTCAGGCCGGTGAGAGTGTTGTCTGGTACTTTTCCCTTAGATAGTTGCGTGTCACCCACTTCAGCCCAGCACTAAGGCGATCTACATTTGCTACTATTGAGGGCTTCTAATGGAGAAACCTTGATGTTAGTGTGATAGCTAATGTTGTACGAGAACTCAACTAGTGGTAAATGGGTACCCCATGCCCTACCAAAATTGATCACACAAGCTCTTAACATATCTTCCAAAGTTTTAATGGTCCTCTCATAGCTACACCAACATCCATACGAGATCTAAAGTACCCATTGTCAAGACAAGGATCATTGTCTCTCATCTTGTGGTTCACATTCCTTTTCTCCTTTGAATTTTCTCTTGTTGACTTTAATAAATTGAATGTTACAAAGAGTAGAACATGTTAACTCGTTGGTTACGAAGACTGTGTTCCCTTAGATCTCCTCTCTTGGTGATAGATTTAAAGCTTAGAGTCCATCAGAATAATCGCACCTATTGAGGATAAGAAAATCTGTATCTTCATAATTTTATGGCTAATACCTATATTTTGATGTGTTCAGAGGTGTAAAATATGTGCTAAGTTGCTTCTCTTTTGTAGATAGAATTTGTGTGGGTGATGTCTTGGAAACAAGAAAGTACTTTACGAGCATTCAAATCGATATTTGATGATTTTTTTTCTGAAAAACCTGCCTTTGTCTGTTTTTGACCATTTTATTGTTTCTTTTATTACTAATTTATTTTCATTTACGTGTATTTTTTTTTCTTGTACCGTATCAAAGGAATTAATGGTGAATCTCCAATTCTAGACTAAAACTATAAACATAACTCTATGATGCTAGGGGTTGAACCACTCTCAATTGATGCGTTATACACTATCTATGATTTACAATGATTGAAAATAAGTGTGATTGAGACCTTATTTCTTTCACTTCAAGTCTTCTATTAAAGAACTTAATGATTTACTATACAATACCATACAATGATAAAAGTTTTAAATTTTGTGACGATGGTTAAGCTATGTACCATAGTTTATTGCACGTACCAATATCTTTTTGCCCTATTTTTTTCTTCTTTAATGTTTTACGAATCGTATAATACCAGGCGTTGATGAGAACTTGAAAAATCTATGCCGATGGGTATATCATGTACAATGATATATTACACGCACCTACCCATTCTTGGCCTACAAAGCTTCTAAAAAAGAATTTATGATTCACCGTATAATCCATACACTAATAAAAATTTGACACTCTACGTCGATGAGTGCATTTCTTACCGGAATGTATTACACACATCATGCCATTCACTCCCAAATTATTTTTCTAATGAAAGTAGTTAATGATTCAGCGTATAAAACCATACACTATTGAGACTTCGCAACACTATGTAAGTGATCTACCATGGCAACAACACAATAGTGTGATACACAAAAATCCCTCCTATCATTTCGTTGCATGTCACATACTATGATGATGACTCTATTATCTCTGGGTTCATCATCTATGCTCTCTCAGAAGATTATCTTAACGGTAACTTTTTAAATTTGGGATATGGACCATCTCTTGATAACTGCAAAATTTTAGGCGAATTTCTCTCTCTCTTATGATTGCTTTCTAACGATGTTCTGTAGGGTATAAAAATGGGTTAAAATCATCATCAACCTTTACACTCTCAATTATCATCAAAAAGCTTTTGTTTGCTTGTACTCTTAAGAACCTTAATCGAATGGCTCATCCTTCCGTTCTCCACACTTATGCTCCAACACTGAATGCCATCAAGGTTGTTGGAACTCTAGATACTACCACCGTCATTATGTTCAAGAATGTAGCATTCACTCCTAAATTCCCTAAAAAGATCCAGAAAAAGGTTTTTAAAGATTGAGTGGCCTACCTTATAGCATGTCCACTTCACTATATGGTTGCTAATGTAGCTTAACTTTTTATCCCTCTACATGATGGTAAGTTCTACTATACCTCAACTTATTATAATACCAAAGTGATTGTTGGTAACATAGGAGATAGAGAGCATACTATCTCAATGATTGTAATAGATGTCTGAAGAGCCCCACAACTTTCGTTTAAAGATGAATACTTTTCCCTTCCTTCCAAGGAAGATTGTCATGTTGTTCTTGAAAATTTGGAATATGATTTTGCTAAACAAGGAAACCAAAATGTTGTCCATCTGCATCTTCCCACTACCTGGAAGTTTCTCAGCGGTGTTCTTCGCATATGTCTTACTCACAAGACAATGAGTCTTGATCATATGAACTCCTTTGAACTGTACAATTTCTTCTTTGTCATCAAGAATAATAAGTTGGATTTTTCTTAAATTATCTTTGATAAAATTGCTAAAATTATTTGAGGAACTAAAACATCCGACTATATTTCGCATCCTTGATGGTTTGCACTGATAATCCAATACCTTGATATTGGTTATGATGATGATCATGCTAAAGATTGGGTTCATTTCTTCACCTCGTCAAAATTGTTCAACTAGATTCTTGAAGATAAATGGGGCATTATAATGGGAATGCAGAAGTAGATTAATGCTCCCTATGAGTGTGAAAGATTTCCATATTGCACATGTTGTCCCATTAGAGGATGAAGATACGAAAGATGAGAACCAAGGTTTAGATCAAGAATATGAAAATCAACAGGATGACACTAAGAGGAACTCTTAGGCTGCTGAAGATGCTGACATTGCCAACGAGAGCCTCGATGATGACAATAATTAAGAGTATAATAGTCAAGATGCAGAGATGGATGCCATTGATTTGGGTCAAGATTTTCCTTTTCACTCACATGATTTCAATGTGGTAGAATCTAGTCAACCAAATCAGGATATCAAGTCTTCTCCATCAATGAAAGAAGAAGATCTTGTTCTTGAAACTCCTCAAGCTCAAGAAGGTAATGCTGATGACATTGATTATATCTCCGAGAATTCTCTTAATGATTGAGGTAATACATCTCCTGCTCGTACATCCTCTGCTAGTCTTTTTTGAACATCACTATTTCTCACTCCCGATGCTCCATAAGTACAACATAATCTTATATCATTTGTTTATACTGAACAATGTCCTCCTATTAAAAAAATTATTTCACACATGCAAATATTCAGCGGGATGAATCACAGCTAGCATAATTTCATGCTCAATTCAAATATTTTTAGAAGAAAACTCTTTCTACATTGAAGTCTCTAGTATAGTTAACCTCCAACATAAATTAGCATATTGTTACAATCGAGACTGATGTCGTTGAGATCAAGTGCATAGTTACAGGAGTTGACACTGAAACTGAGGATGGTGGGTTTCAGTCTCCATTATGGGATACCAAACCTCCTAATTATAAAGGCACCCCTCCATCTAGCATATCCCTCCACCTCTTTTCTTCCTCCTTCGCCACCACCACCTTCAGTTCGTCCACCATCAAATCCTCCTAAAATTCCTCCTCATGCTACTACTCCTCACACTCAAATGCTCGTACTGGTCATGATACCCCCAAATCATATTGATGATACCAAAAATAGGGACAATCTAGTTAAGGAATTTACCAACGACATTGGTACTAATGACACTAGGATGAAGTAAATGTGTAGGAAACCCTTGACATTCCTGATTAGTCTGATGTTGATGATGAATTCTATTGTATATACGTATCGTTTATTGATGTACAACCTTTACAAGAAGTGTTTCCTGACACTGACACTACTGGTGCTGATGTTGAGGGGGGAGCAACATGTTCTTCAAGGGGAACCAAGTGACATTGAATCATATGTGGATGTTCCTCTCAGCAAGAAGCGAAAAGCCAAAAATACTTCTAATGTTGGTCCTTACAAAAGGAAATGCATGTCCTTGAGATGTCGATGAGATCAAGAACTTCCTGATTCTAAAGGAACTCCTCCATCCAACACACCTTCCACATATTCACTTCCTCCTCCACTGCCACCACCACCTTCAAGTCCTCCACCATCAAATCCTCTTAAAATTCCTCCTCTTGTTACTACTCCTCACACTCAAGTGCTCTCACTTATCATGGTACCGCCAACTCAAATTGATGATGCTAAAAAGGGGGAGAATCTAGTTAAGGAGTTCACCAGTGGCACTGGTACTAATGATGTTGAAGATAAAGTAAATGTTGAGGACATCCCTTAAATTCCTAGTCACTCAGATGTTGATGTTGAACTCTATTGTATAGACCTATGTTTTATTGAAGTACAACCTCTACACACATTATTTCCTAACACTAACACTACCGATGCTAATGTTATTGGGGGAGCAGCATGACCCTCATGGGGAACCAAGTGACACTGAATTAGATGGAGATGATATTCCTCTAATCAAGAAGCAAAAAGAATTAACTGCTCCTAATGTTGGTCCTTCAAAAAGGAAACACAAGGATCTTACTGTATCTTAAATGGTAGAGGTATGGGGAGTATCTCTTGATGAAGCTAGGGAGTTTTCCAGGCAACACAACATCCGGAAAGCATAATAACCATACTTGAACGAAACAAGTTTGAAGATATGCTAACAAGAAGAAGTGACCCAAATCTAATCATCAAAGTGAGATGCACTAAGCCCAAAACTAAAATAATGCTGACAATGTATATCACCAGGCAAGGTTACAAGGGTAAAGCTGTTGGCCAATACACTGAGGTATTATCCCCCTACGATTTGATGAAATTTGGGTACAACAAATGGATGAAACTTCTACAGTTGGTCAACAAGAAGAAGGTAAAATATTTTGAGGAATTAAAGATTTTACTTTAAAGACTTATCACAAAGGTTATGGATATGACTTAGTGCCCAAGACCTCAAATAAACCTTCCTCGTCCTCAACGTCTACTTCAGTGCCTTGGAGCAGAACCCTTAATGGTGTGAAATTTGTACTTCCTTATGGCACAGAGGTCACTGACAACTCCTTTCTAGTGGTTGTTCATCATGTTCAACACAAGTTCATTCTTGGACCAGAGCATGATATTTTCTACATGGATGAATCCAAAACATATGTGCTTCTAACGTTCAAATGATCTTGTCAAGGCACCCACCGAGAACTTGATTCATCTCATAATTTCGTGTCTATGTGATGAAGAACTTGCTCAAAATATCATTTCTTAATCCCTCTTGAGCTGAACAAAAGTAAAAAAGAGCTTGATATTTCTGATTATTTTTGGGTCAAGCCAGAATCTGGAGAAGATGTTGATGAGTTTTACCGACATTCAGAAGAAGAAGATTTTAGATTTTGAAATCATCATATTAGGGGAGATTTTAAGGTTAATCGATAGAATATGATAATCTAAAACAATCACATTGACTCTTATCTGTGCCAACGTCTTCCTAACGCCATCATGAAGATATGTCTACAAGTCATGTCAGCGTGATATCTATATTATATATAATTTGTTGTATACATAGATAATTATATAGTTAGTTGATAGATCTGATACCTTAGGGATATCAGATATACTCTATTATTTACATAGATTAAGTGATATCCCTAATTTGTAAGGATTCACATCGTAATGCTTTATTATATGTATTAGGTTTTGTATCATTAGTTGATTATCGAACCTTAGAGATTTTTGCTTGTTCTCTTGGTGAGAATGTTTTTCTTAGTGAAAAACATTTTTTTAAATTCTTTTTGTTCTTTCATTAATGCTTATTGTTAATAGACATAGATCAAGGGAACCTACATCTTTTTAGTTCCTTGGACATCAAAGAATCCTTCACATCATTCAAATTGATCATTATCCTACCATACAACATTGTATCAATGAAATTTTCATATGAATTTAACAGTGAACATAAGAGGATTAATGTGACAATCCGAAAACTTTCTGTCACTGTATCCCGTTTCTGTCAATAAAACCGTTTGTATTTCAATTTTTCCGTTAAATTTTGGATTAGGTTAATTAAATTGAGACCTTTATTATGACTTCATGAGTATCCAAACACATTAGAAACACATGAAAACACCCTCGATACTCAATTGGAAAATTTTTAGTTACGACCACGTCGGGTTACGACAATTTAATCGGGTACGACCATAAGCCTCGTTTAACATCAGTATCGGGTAGATTTCCACCGGGACTCAAACTCAAACCATATATAAAGTTGAGAAGACTTCATTTGAAGCTTTTTCACTCTCTCTCACTACTCGCCCTCTACAAATCCAAGTTTTGATCCAAAATCACCCAATTCAAGCTCCAATTTGGTAAGTGATCAATCCTAGATTACAGTTTAGCATGTTTAGCTTTCAAATTCATGTTTAAGTCATCCAATAGTGTCAAAAAATTGTGTTTATGGCCTAGGAACAATCCCAAACCATAACACCCTTAAATGGGGTTTTGATGCCCCAAAACCCTTCAAAACCACTTCTGGTGCTTAGCAATGACTTAGGGGATTACATGAACGAACTTAGAACACCAAAATCTTGATATTTGGGGAGTAAACATGAGTTTACGGCCCAAGATCATGCTTGGACCGTAAAAACACCTTCAAGGGCCTTAAACACCAATGAAGGTGTTAAAATGCCCCTTAAACACCTCTTATGCCTTGGAATAATGTCTAGAACCATCCACCATTATGTTATGGACCTTAAACATGAAAGAAACCACCTCCTTAGCAGATTACGGCCGTAAACCCCCCAAGGAATGGTTCCTGGGTCGTAAACTCCTCTAAAGTGGTCAAATGGTGCTTTAACTTCCTTCCATGTCTTGTACTTTGGACTATAACCACTTGTGCTTAACCTAGGATCACCAAAACACAAAAGGATAGGGCATATGAGAGTTTATAGCCGTAAACTCCTTGTTTATAGCCATAAACTCCTTAAAATGTTCCCTTTGATGGTTTAATCCCTTCCATTGCCTTAGAACTGAACCTAGCATAAATCCACTAATATTGTAAGACCTTTAAGCAACCAAGAACACACCACCCATGAGTTTACGGCCGTAAACTACTGGGGATATGGTTATTGGGCCAAAAACTTCCTTAGTAGTTTACTCTTGAAGAGCAAACTCCATATCTAGGCCTTACACCTCCTTAGATGCAACCCGAATCACTCCTAATACTTGAAATAAGGTGTTTCCATTCCTCGGAGTGTATTGTCTTACATAATTGGTAGTTCAAAGTCTAATTAGATACAATTATGTATCTCTGCATATTACATAGGAACCTCGCTTGTATTAGAGCCCCGAACAGACACTTAGCATCCTAACCGGCACATTTCTCATCTGGTGAGTTCATACCCCTACACCTTTTTCCGTGTTTTCAATGTTTTTAGGGGGGATACAAGAAAAATTACAAGGAAATCTTGTACTCAAACTTATTATTTCATTTGAAATGTTTCATATTCCGTACACTTTTAACACTGGAAACCATATTAACCAACCGTTTAACTTGCAGAGTTAGTTTTCAAACTGTTTGTGAAACTCGTTATAAAATGTTATATTTTATATTTCACAAATGATTTTCCACATCATTACTGTTAAAAGCATTAACTTAGAACTTTGGATACGTCCTCTGTAACACTCCATAGAGATACGCGAGTGGAGGACCACCTTGGTAACCAAAATCTAAAACAGGGTTTTTCACATTATTACTTGTAAATTCGTTAATCTTAAAAATTGGAGACACGTCCTCTGAAACACTCCACAGAGATACGCGAGTGGAGGACCGCCCCTGTAACTAGAATCTCTTGGATGAAGAGCGTGACTTGAGTGTATAGATCTATACGGGGCTGACTATCCCGCACCTTGCTGCTAGCTACAGTGGGACCGGCAGGTATACGGGTGACAAAAGTCATAGGATGATACTGGACTTCTTATTGCCATATCTAGTCTATCGTGTGGTTATGGAACTCGCAATTTAGATAACGGAGATTTACTTGATAGTAATAATGAATCTAGTGAACTAATAACCTTAAGAATTAGTTTACTACCTACTTATTAGTTTTATATACGTGTTAAAACTAATGCACTTTAGAAGGATAACCAGGCTTTCAGAATACTTCATTAACGCTACAAGTATGGTAGATACTTGTACACTTCATTCCGAATCGATAACTAATCGCAAACTTTTAAGGAAAATAAGGGTTTTTCCTGGGATAACTAAACTGTTCTTAACTAGATTGTGTAACTAACAGATAACTAAACAACTTGTATTCTCAGGTGAACGTTAGACAGGTATCCCACAATCTTTTGGAGAAGACGGAGCATTTTAGCAGTCTCGTCTTAACTTTTGTTCATTTATGATATATATATATATATATATATATATATATGTATGTATGTATATATATATATATATATATATATATATATATATATAATGATGTATAACTTTGCTTTCAAACAAATGTAAATACTTCTATGTAATGTATTGGTTGTGTTTACTATGCTTATTATGTACGTTGGTTGTGATACTTTACATGACGTCTTCTGCCCCGGAACATTTCCGCCATTGGTTCCGGGGTGTGACAGATTGGTATCAGAGCCCTTGTTTATAGTGAACTAAGTATACCGAACCTTACGTGGTATAAGACTATAAACACTAAGGGGCCGAAGTGTTGTGAACTAAAAGTATAAAATATAAGTATTTTACAAAAGTATACAAGAATACCTAAACGTCAGAGACCATAACTACGAGTAGAACAAAACATAAGTAATTGGGTGTTGCATGATGCGGTTGAACCTGGGCAGTTATGTAGTCGTGTCTAGGGTCAATATAGCCTGATCAACTATATTTATTTGAGACATAGCCAACATCTGCTTTGGAGTGACTGTGGTGTGCAGCATGCCTAAAACTTACCTAATATCCAAACAATGAGTCATCGTTACAACGAAATATAAAATACTATGGGAGTGCTTTATCCAAAACCGAATACGTTGTAGAAATTCATTCCGAGTATTGCTACACATTCCTTCTTTAGCGATAGTTTATTTGCTTTGATAACTCTTTCTTGTTTTATAGCTTAATAGAACTCTATATCTATCATAATGAGATATATCTTGTTCCATGTCTCTTGATTCAATTCAAAGGACTTATGATCCTCTCTTTCCTGGTTATTTTAGATCAAGATGCCTCCAAAGAAAAGACCCAGCTCAAAGAACAACAATCCTCATCCACTACCACCTCCCTATCCTTTTGATCCCACCATGTTCTAAGCAGTTGTTACTGCTGCTGTGGCTGCTGCCATGTTACAAATGAACCCCGGTGGTTCAGGCGGGCCAGGAGGTGGTACTCAGCCTCAAAACCAGGAAAGTAGTTAGGGACACCGGAAGGAGTGTTCCTACAAGGACTTTATGAACGCAAAACCCACACCCTTTAATGGCACTAGAGGTGTCATTACCCTAACTCGATGGTTCGAGAAAATCGAATCTATTTTCGAAATATGTGCCTGTTCAAAAACTGATAGGTGAAGTTCGTCGTTTGCACTTTCACCGATAAAGCCCTGACGTGGTGGAATGGCCGAGTCAAATCCTTAACCCTACCTGTAGCCAATGGTATGGGTTGGGAGATGATGAAGGAGCTTCTGCCTGTAGAGTACTGCCATCGGGGCGAAATGCAGAAGCTGGAGCATGAACTCTGGAACCTAAAGATGAAGGGTTCCGATATCGCTGCTTACACTTCCAGATTTGATGACTAGGCACTTCTCTATTCGGGAATGGTTGCCCGGAGAGTAAAAAGATTGAGAGATTCATCTAGGGGTTGACCTAGCCAACTAAGGGAAACGTTTTGGCTACGAAGCCAGACACCTATGACAGTGCCAAATGCCTAGCGCAAACTTTGATTGACCATAGTGATGACCTTGAGGAAGCGGCCACCACTCCTGAACTGACAAGGAGGAGTGGTGAGAAAAGAAAATTTTGGAAGACGAAGAAGAGTCAGTCTTCACAGGAGTCCTCGAAGAAGCAGCAAATTGTGGCAGTCCAAGCTGCTACTACCCCTGTTGCAGCTTCTGTCGTCGCTTCCACAGCTCAAACACCTATTAGTAGGTATACTGGTACCCTTCCCTGATGCGACAAGTGTA